TTATGATAAGAATGAGCTAAGAAATACTTAGTATAGCTGTTTTAAAAAAGTCTTCAAATAGTCTTTGCCTTTGGCATGGATGATCTTGTTGCTGCCATGCACCAATGCCCTGCCCAGTGTGACTGACTGGTACTGTAAGAACAAGCTGTACCCAAAGTCTTGCTTCTGCCAAGGTATCCCTAATACCAAGATTTCTATCTTTGACATGGGTGGAAGAAGACAAAACTGATGAGTTCCTCTGCTGTGGCTATGTGGTATCAGATAATATGAGTGAGTGTTCTCAGAAGCCCAGTGGCTTCCCATATTTGTATTAATAAATATATGGTGAAAAGCTGTGGCAAAAACTGCTTTCATATTTGTATGTGGCAGTCCCTTCCACATCATCTACATCAACACTATGTTGTCCTGTGCTGGACTGACCAGCTGTATGTAGACAGGGATGCGGGGTGCACAGTAGCCATGGTCCACATTGGCCAAGTGATCCTGTCCCTCCTCACCAAGCTGCAAAACAAGGGGCACGTAATCGAGATGTTACAGGCTCAAGTTCAAGTTCCCAGTGGCCACAAAACCCACATCTCCAAGAAATGGGGTTTTACCAAATTGAGTTCAAGTGAGTTTGAAGACACAGTGGCTGAAAAATGGTTCATCCCAGATAGTTGTGGGGTCAAATATACTACATCCTGAATCACAGCCCCCTGAATGAGTGGTGAGCCTTGCACTTGGGAGAACAAAAGAGCTGCCTCTGCCTTAGTCATGAAAATCTACATTCTCATCTAACAAAACAAACGAGATAAGTCTTCAAATAGAAAACACTGTAAAGGGGAGGACATAAGGTCAATGGGAAAGTGGGAAAGCAAAATTGCAACTTTTTTTTTTACTTTGATAAAAATTTAGTTTGGTCTTGAAGATTCATGACCTCTTTAAGTCCAAGAATATATATTTCTACATATTTTGTAATATTGTCTTCTAAAAATGTGTTTTGCTATTATCTGTCTACAATGATGATCACTGTGCATTACTACAGTCATGGCTTTTGGAGATGGAAAAGTATCCTTTTTTTCTTTTTTGAGGTAACATTGGTTTACAACACTGTACAGGTTTTACCATAACTGTTAGGTATGGAAGGGAAACACCAGCATTATGGAGACAAAGAGGACTTCCAAATGAGGAAAGGAATGAAGAAAATCTTTTCCAAGTGAGTACAAAGAAAAAGAACATGATAAAATATAAAGTTAATTTGGTAGATTGAAACATAAAGATTACAGTTTAATAATACTTGGACGTGAGCCCAATTCTATAAAAACTGGTAACAACCTGAGTTTTTAAAAACCCACCTATTGTTTTTAAAAGTTTAAAGAGTTGAAAGTAAAGGGATGGTCACCATAGATCATGTAAATAACAGCAAAGAAAATAGGAATGGGATATTGTCAGATAAAGTTGAAATCAAGGCTAGATACATTAAAGAGTGCAAAAAAAGACCATTATTTAATAAAAACAATATTCTGTACATAAATGTATATAAGTAATATACATTCATTTTCCATACATGTAACTAAAATTCATACTTATACATATTTTTTTATGAATAGCTTATAAATGTTTATAGACCAAACGTTCAAATATGTAAATTGTACTAATTTTTAGAATTTGGGCAAAACCAAAGCAAGTCTTAGAAGAATTCAGTAACACAGTTTATTATTATTTTTAAAAGACTTACTATATTTTTTAAAAAAGATTTGTATATGCATAGAAGAACAGGGGCACTAGCCAGAGGTGCAGCGGGTGAGAGGATTCATCAAAGACAGAGTTGGGAGCAGAACAGGCAGGTCTGCTGAAATGTACTCTGTAGGGAACAGTAGGTGAGATAGGAGAGGTCTGTTGCACCATTTGTGTCACTTCCCTGGTTGGAGATTGAACTTGTGCTCAGTGGCTATGGATTGCTTCATAGTGCTGTGACTTAAATCCTTGTGCCACCAGAGAGGCCCGAGTAATAGTTTATAAGTTTGATTTAACACCTGGAGAATTTGCTAATTTACACAGTCCATATCCTTTCTGTCCAGGGAAATCAATTAGATACCTGATCATAAGGAAAATGATAAAATGCCAGAAAGAAATTATATAATTCAGAAAATTTGTGGTCCAATAAAATAAGAAATTACAAAAAGATTTAAAAAAAATATTTACTTGGACATTCAGAAACTAAAACTCAGATTTAAGAGGAAATAAAAATCAAAACGACAAGTGAATTTAGCAAGGTAAGTGGCTACAAGGTCAATATACACAAAACTAAATTATTTTTCATAAATTAACATCAAACAATTGGGAAATTAATTTTAGATACCCTTTGCAATAGCAAAATAGCAAATATTTAGGAATAAGTTTAACAGAAGATAAGTGATCACAAAACATTGCTGAGGAAATTAAGACCATAAATAGAGTGCAGAATTGACTGAGTCTTCCTGGAAGATTCAGTACTATTAAAAAGTCTGTTCTTGGGGCCCTCCCTGGTGGCATAATGGGGTAAAGTGCAGCACTTTGAAGTTAGCCACAGCTCTACAGTCCAAGTTCTAACCCTGGCCAGGGAGGTGACCCACAGAACTGGGGTACATACCAGAGGTACAGGAGTGGAGAGAGGATTCACCAAGACAAAGTGGGGAGCAGAACAAGTCGATCAAAGAAGAACATTGCTGAGGGGAATAAATAAATCTTTTTTAAAAAGCTGTCTAAGAGTAATGAGCCAATAAAGAGAAATAGAATCTTGTGAATTCCTAAAAAAAATTTTTTTTCAGCACATAAGAAAATACTGAAACAGTTGTCAAAAATATCATTAAATCCATCAAGGAGTACTGGAAAAAAAAAATCTCTCTTTAAGAAAGAAAAATACCGGATGGTTTCGCTCCTAGCAGGAGTATAATGGACCAGGAGAGAAAATAATAAGAAAAATGAACAGCCATATACCAGAGACATTTTACATTTTGTGGGGGTGGAGTGAAGAATGGGATCAAAAACGTGGGTGGGGGGAGGGAAGTGCATGGGACTATGATGATGGCACATGGGTGACTTGGTGATGGGAAACCCACAGGGATTACAATTGAGATGAAAAATAAATGTACAAAATGATGTAAAAATAAACTGTTATATTATTTTAAAAAATCTCTATATTGATCTATAGTCAATGCAATTTAACCCCAAATACTGAAAGCAAGCTTTTATTTTTGGTAACTCCTCCCACCCTACCCACCCCCCCAAAAAAAACAGCAACCTTAACCATCTTAACACTGGTGAACTTTTCTCTGTATAGGTTTCTCACTTTTGGAGCTCTCAGCTACCATGTATAAAAAAAATGTTAATTTTCTGGAGCTACCATGTTGTGAGCAAGGCCAAGTTCTGGAGAGGCTCTGGGTAACTGCTTCAGTTCTCAACCCAATTAATCTCTCAGACGTCAGCCAGCATCAACTGCCAGCTATGTATGTGAAGCCTATTTTGATATCCAGTGCGTTCAGCCTTCAAATGACTGTGGCTTCACTGTACATCTTAGTAAACAGGCATGAGAGATCAAGCAGGGACTATTGAGCCAAATTCTTCTGCATTTATGCCCCACAGGATCTTGAACAAAATAAAAACTTTTTAAAGTCACAGCAGCCTTATTATAATAGCCCTAAACTAGAAACACTCTGAATGCTCTTCACCAACAGAAAGAACAAATAAAGCATGATATATTACTATATTGGAATACTATGCAGCAATGAAAATGAAGCACGGCTACATGCAATAACATGGATGAATCTTACAAAATAATATTCAAGTCATATTTAAGAATACATGTGCATTTATATGAAGTTAAAAATCATAGTGCTAAAGCAAGAGTAATGGTTAACCTTGGAGTGGATTGACCAGGAAGAGGGACAAAGAGCCATTCTAAGATGCAGGAAATGTTCTATATTTTGGTCTAGATGTGAATATATGAAAAAACACTGGTAAGATATGTAAGGTTTAGCGCAAATTTAAAATGAATAATGACTAAGATTTTACAGACACCATACCATCAAATTGGCTTGAAGTGGCAAATGCAATATTGAATATGCAATATTGCACACTCAAAGCCCAACAAGATGATTTAAAAGGTGTGTGTTTGGAACAGTCTGACTGTTGCAATGAAGTTAAGTTGACTTAGGCTAGAGGTAACTATCAATAGAATAATATGGAAAATATTACTACTCAGGAATAGTAGTAAATGAGTGAAAATTAACCCAGAACGCTAGCATCTAAGTCAGTTCTTAGTATACTCCAGCCTTATCTTTCTTTCCAGCAAGACAGATGCTGCTGTATATCAAGGACTTCCTGGCAGGGGGAATGGCTATCCATGGTCATCTCCAAGACTATGGCACCCATTGAGGGGATCAATATATTGCTGTAGGTTTATTGTGCTCTCAAGCAAATTGCTTCATTTTCAACACAAGAGCATTATAGACTGAGTAGTTTCTATTCCCAAGGAGCAAGGAGTTCTGTCCTTTTGTCATGGCAACATGGCCAGTGTCACCTGCTACTACCCCACCCAGGCTCTCAGCCTTGTCTTCAAAGACAAATGAATACAAGCAGCACTTCCTGGGTGGTGTGGGGAAAGAGGATCCACTTTGGACATTTCTTTGCAGGTAATCTGGCATCAGGTGGTGACTCTGGGGCCACATCCTTGTGTTTGTGTATTCTCTTGATTTTGCCTGCAGCCCATGCAGGTAAAGCTCAAACTAAAAGGACATTCAAAGGTCTTAGTGACTCCCTGACTAAAAATCTTGGGATTAAAGGCCTGTATCAAGGTTTTAATGTGTCTCTGCAGGATATTATGAGTTACAAAACTGCCCACTTCAGTAACTGACACTGCAAAGGAACTACTTCCAGACCCCAAGAATACTCACATCCTTATCAGCTGAATGATGGCCTAGTTCCTCACGCTGTGGAGGGTTGACTTCCTGTCTGTCTGATGCTGTGTGTGCCACGTGATGATGCAGTCAAGGCACAAAGGAACTGCTATTGTATACACCGGCGTGATTGACTGCTGGAGGAAGATTACTTGTGATGAAGCAAACAGTGCTTTTTTCAAGGGTGTGTGGTCTGCTGTGATCAGAAGTGTGAGTGCTGCTTTTGTGTTTGTCGTGTATGAAATCATGAAGTTCATTTATATCATTTCTAATTTCCCCACCTGTAAACAAGCATGTTGTATTATAGAACATCTTTTGAGCATTCCTGACAAACTATTGGCTACCACTAGTAACTATTTACTGGTTGAAACTGGAAAGCAATAATTCATTTGACCATTTTTCTCTTAAAGTAATTTCATTGGTGATGCAGATAAGACTCAATTACATTTTTTATTTCAGTCACTCCTGATAAAGAACAAATTAGAAAAATAAAATATAAAAGAACAAAAGTTAAAAGAATGAAATGAGGAATATTAACTCAGGGAGTTAAGGGGTTTTCATAGGAATATTCCTGTAGAAATTAACAGATAATTATACATAATTATATATAAATATTTATTTATTTATGCATTCAAGAACTGGGTTGTAGGTCAGATAGGCAAGGGTGTGTGTCAAGAGGATTCACCAGAGACAGAGTGGGGAGCAGGTGAATCTACTGAAATACATTGCTGAGGGGAGCAACGGGTGAGACAGGAGAGGTCTTCTGGGCCATGTGGGTCAGCATCCTGGACTGGTGGTAGCTTGACAGTGCTGAGCCTTTAACCGCTGTGCCACCAAGGAGGTCCTTGATTCTGTGTTTTATATGGCAATGTACAGAAGTTAGAATGGTCAAGACTTAAGAACAAATCTGCAGCACTTTTATTTCAAGACTAAATAATTAAAAAATTTAAGGAAAGGTAAGTAGATCAGTGGAACAGAATAGAGCATTGAGATAGACAATTGATATGGGAAATTTAAATGAATCTGATCTCTGCCTCACACCATATGCAAAAATGAATTTGAGATGAATCTTAGCCTTAAGTATGAAAGCTAAAACTGAAGCTTTTGGAGGAAAAAGCAGGAGAACAACTTTATGACTTGGCCCTCCCCTCTGGTGCAGCAGGCTAGAGCACTGCACTACGAAGCTAAGCCAAGCTGTGGCCACTTCAGTGTGAGTTCAGTCCCTGCCCCAGAGGTGATCTACATTGTGCAGCAGACCGGTCCTGTCACACCTGCTGCTCCCCTGAGCAGTGTACTTCGTTGATCTGCCTGTTCTGTTACCCACTCTTTTTCTGGTGAATCCTCTTGCTGTCCCTGCACCTCTGGTCTGTATCCCATTTCTGTATGCATAAATAAATATTTTTTAAAATCTTCATGAGTTTTTGATTAAGCACAATTTTAAAACATAAGAAAACCAACTATAAAATAAAAATTTCACAGTTGAACATGAGAATAAAAAAGATCAACCAAAAGATAGCAAAATGAAAAGGTGAGGCACGACTGGGAAAGTTTATTCTAAAATTTTTTGTTGTCAAAAATCAGGTATAAAGAACTTCTGATGCACTCAACAACCTAGTTTATAAAATGGACTAACTCTCAGAGTGCCTGGCAACAGAAGTTGTTCAATATCACTACAAGTCAAGGACATGAAAAATAATACCAAAAGGAGGTATCAATGTACTGCCACCAGAAGGGCTAAATTTAAAAAGACTGACAACAACAAGTGTTTCAATGGTGTGGAACAACTGGCCTCCATCACTGATGGAGTATAAAATGGTATAGCTACTTTGGAAAATTGTTTAGCAGTTCTCAAAAGACTTAATGCTAATCTATGACCCAGTGATTCCTATTCCTATGATTATACTGAAATGAGTCCACAACAAGACTTGTATCCAAATACAGCTTTATTCATAATTGCCCCAAATTGGAAAAAAACAGATGTCCATCAACAGAATAAACTTAAATATTACACAGCCATAAAAATTGATACACAACAATAGATAATCTTTGAAAACATGTTGAGTGATGTCAGACATAGAAGAGTACATGCTGTTTTAAATTGGCATGATAAAACAGGTATTCTGCCTTTCAAGTCAGAATTATAGTTCCCTCTACAAAAATTCTTTTGCCTGAGATAAACTGTTCACATTTGAATTGGTGGTGGTTATATAAGCTGTGTATTTAGGATATAAGCATTTTGCTCTTTGTAAACCATATCTTCAATAAAGATAATGGGAAAAAATACAACCACAGATTAAGAAAATTTTAAAAGTGAACACTTCATATCAAAGTCTAGTGTATAGTTAAAGCTATACTAAGGAAAATATTTTTATTATTACAAAATACTGAAAGTTCTAAATGATAAACAAGAATGTTGAGATTGAAGCAGAAACTTAACAAGTAGGAAAAAGTAATTTGACAACATGAATAGAACAGCTAATAAGATGAGAAAATAGCTGTTCATGTAATTTTTGTCTTTAAATCTTGATGGTCTAGTCAACAAACAACAGAATCTAGTTTGGGCCTCATTCATTCATTCATTCATTGCATTAAAAAAAAAAAAAAAGACCAACCCTCTTGACCATCAGTATCAAGACATTCTTTTAAAATCTTTTACAAGGTTGATTTGGGCTGTCCAGCAGGTAGCCGGTGCCAGTCACTTACAAGCATT